CAATAAGCTTTAAGTGTCCAGAAGAGAGATGGTCAAGAAGGAGACCAAACCTCAACCACCTAAGGGTCTTTGGGTGCGCAGCATATGCACACACTAGAAAGGGTAAGTTAGAGTCTATGTCCCTTAAATTTGTCTTTTTAGGGTATCAAGAAGGGACTAAAGGCTACAAGTTGTGAGGGAGGGATGCACCAGGAATTAGGGTTATAATCAGTTGGGATGTAGTCTTTAATGAGACCATGTTTCCTTGCAAGGTTTCTAATGACAATGCAAGTAAGCCAAGGACAGATCCTAAAATGCTTGATCAAATAGAGAGATCTCAATTTGAGGTGGAGCCACCAAGCCTGACAGAACATTCTGAACAACTTGAAGCCACTGAACCACAAAGTCCCACACTGCCAAACAATGGGGACCAAGATGAAGAAGAGGAGCAACCTAAAAACAGTAATGAAGTCTAGAATGATAACCTAGCAGAATACCAATTAGTGAGAGACAAAGTTAGGAGGGAGATAAGGCCCTTTAACAAGTATAGCTATGCTGACTTAATCTAGACTGCCCTTGATACTGGGGTAGAGATAGTAAGGTCTGAACCTAAAACCTACTAAGAACCTATGAGCTCCAAAGACAGAAACAAATGGTCGGAAGCCATGAAGGAGGAAATGATGTCCCTAAAATAGAACAGAACCTGGTCCCTCGTCCCAAAACTAGCTAACTAGAAACTGGTAGACTGCAAATGGCTCTACAAATTAAAGGAAGGCATAACAAGCTCAGCTCTTCCAAGATTCAAAGCCAAACTGGTGGCAAAGGGCTTTACTCAAAGGGCAGGTATTGACTTTACAGAAATTTTCTCTCCTGTAGTTAAGTTTAAGACAATTAGGCTAATGCTAGCTATTGTGACCCATTATGACTTAGAATTGGAACAAATGGATGTTAAAACTGCCTTTTGCATGGTGAATTAGAAGAAAAAATATACATGTGTCAACCAATTGGGTTTAAAGATAGGAACTTGCCTGAACATGCTTGCCTACTGCATAAGTCCCTTTATAGACTTAAACAATCCCCTAGGCAGTGGTACAAAAGGTTTGACTCATTCATAGTAGGAGTTGGGTTTAATAGAATTGCATATGATAATTGTTTTTACTTTGCTTGTATAAATAACATGCCTATATACTTACTGTTGTACGTAGATGACATGTTGTTAATAAGCAAGTCTAAGTCACATATAGATGAACTAAAATCAAAATTGAGTGCTGAGTTTGATATGAAAGATCTAGGGTCTGCAAAAAAGATTTTGGGGATGATGATTGATAGGAATAGAAAATTAAATAGAGTGAAACTTCACCAATTACCATACCTGCAAAAACTGACATCTAGGTTTGGAATGACTGATGCTAAACCTGTCAACTTACCCTTAGCAGGATACTTTACATTGAGCAAGTTATAGTGCCCCAAAACTGATGCTGATAGGATTAAAATGGAAACCATACCCTACTCTAGTGCCATAGGATCTATCATGTATTCCATGATAAGCACCAGGCCTGATCTTTCTTTTGCAATATAATTATTGAGTAGGTTTATGTCAAATCTAGGAATAGAACACTAGGTTGCATTAAAATGGTTACTCAAATACATTAACACTACAATGCATGTTGGATTAGATTTTTGCAAAAGAAACTCTACATTTGATCTTCTTGGGTATGTGGACTCTGATTTTGCAGGAGATCGAGATTCAAGGAAATCCACCACAACCTACTACTTTACCTTAGGTGGAAATTGCATCAACTGGAAATCACAACTCCAACCATTGGTTGCACTGTCCACAACAGAAGTTGAGTATGTGGCAGTGATTGATGCATTCAAGGAGGCAGTATGACTACAAGGGATCTTGAAAGAGGCAATTTTGATGGATAGACTTGTGACTATGTATTCTGACAATCAAAGTGTCATTCATCTAAGCAAGAACCCCGTATATCATGAGAGGACAAAACATGTGGATGTGAAGTACCACTTTGTCCGAGACCAAATCAAAAAAGGAAATCTGAATCTATTGAAAATACCAACTGAAGAGAACCCAGTTGATATGGGAAAAAAAGTTGTAACTTCTGCAAAGTTCAAGCACTACTTGAACTTCCTTCACATCAACTGATTTCATAGAGCTGAGAAGGAGTATGTGAAAAGCTTGCTGCACCTGGATGTTGCTATCAGAGGAAAGAATAAGGCTTCAAGGTGGAGATTGTTATATGTGAAGCCTTATACGCTCTCATATTGGCTTAAATTCATTCTACATCTTGATCGTTGGTTTTTTAAGTAATCTAACGGTTGAAAACTGAAGACTAGTCAAACCTATAAAAGATGCAGTCTTTCTCTTTCTCAAAAGATAGTCTCTTTCTCAATTGAAAGCTTCCCCAAATTTCTTCGTTAGGGTTCAAGAATAGGGCTTCCGTGTGTGTGTGTAAATCTGTAGTTAATCTGTCCATTAAAGTTGTGTTTCTTTGTGGTCTTGAGAATCAAGTTTGGAGTCCTCTGTTTGGGTTGTAGATTTACTGGTACTGGGTTGAAGTCTAAGTAGTTCTTGTAAAACACATTCATATTCCAATATTTATTGATAATACAATCAATTTCTATAAAAAATCTCCATGGAATATATGCAGAAGTAAATGACAAACCTCTAGCCATAGCAATTGTTCTTTGATCTTCTTGCTCCTTTATAATTACAGGATCTTCCACTGACTGCAATTTTGGGTGATGGTTTTTGGGAATCAAAAATTAAAATTGCGTCTAATGGGGACCTGTAAAGTCTCCTTTATATGTAGTTGTCTTTCCATCAAAGACAACTGCTCAAGAGAAGAGACACGACTTTTACACTTTTACATTAAAATCCACATCAGTCCACATCAGCATAAAAGTAAAAGTGTAGGACCTTAATGAAATTATATTAAAAGTGTAGGACCATAATGTAAAAAGTCTAATATTCTCCCACTTGGTCCAAACTCTAATATAATCCAAAACACAAGAGATGTATATGCGGTATGTTCAATTAGAAAGAGGAAAAAGTACATGAATCATAGCGGTAAGTCCCTTTGAAACAAGTATTACCTTCCATGTATTACAATGCAATTCTTCTCTTTCTAAATAAACGCTTAAATTTGGAATATCACTTTATGAACAAACCTCAAATGTTTGTTCCAAGTCCTCTAAATGTTTGTTTGCTCCAACCAAAATGTATACAACTTAAAAGAGAAAACAAACTAAATTACAAAGTTTCAGACAATGAAAGTATTACCTCTCATAGTGACAAAGCGGGACATAGTCCCATTTGGACAACATGATCCTTGAACGTCTTTGGTGGCATGCCTTTCGTTAGAGGATCAGCAATCATCTGCTCAGTATGTATGTGTTCAATGAGCACTTCTTTGGCTTTAACGTGCTCCCTTATTGCTAAGTACTTAATGTCGATGTGTTTACTTCGACTTCCACTCTTATTATTCTTAGCAAAGAATACAGCAGNTTTCTCTTCAATGACCTCACCCTTTACACTTTATAATGGCCACATCTCGAAATACATGTAAATTGACCATTTTACCCTTCCATTCAAAAAAGAAAATTACTTGAAAAGGTAAATTTCATACCTTAGGGCATCAGAATAATAACGTGGGGTTTACAGTGGCAGCGTCTAGACGACACAAACCTTCCTAAGCCCTGATTGGCTGTTGCTGACGAGAGTCCACATCAGCCCTAACTTTTTAGGCATAACAATACATATATATTGTCAAAACAATATATCTAAGGAATCTTATAAAAGTATTGGATACATGAAAAGAGTAGAATGCATACATCTATATGAATCAATTTTACATTGAATTTCAAGAAGGTAATTACACTCTAAACAACGATTAAAATTATAATCATAATCTCACATTTTTCTAGCAACATTTATATCTCAAAGTCATCAACTCAAGAGAGATTTCTTTGCTACTGATACATAATGTTTATGAAACAAATACTATATATATCTCATCAAACTCTCCTTTAATTCACATGGTATCAATCACCAATTTGCTACAAATTGCCCAACCTCACCTCCATAAAAAAATTTTTTATTTCACTCTTGGTTTTTGTGTCCTATCTCCCTTTAGTGCAGGATCTTTGTCAATATTTTCGAGCCTTCGGATTTTAGTTATCAACAAAGACAATTTTATGATCTCTTATCCATTCTTAAAGAATGAACGTACATATACATTATATAAAAATTATGCAAGCAAATTTAGGATATATATCAAGTTTAGTGCTTTATACCGGTTGTAATTACGTAGTTTGTTCTGTTGTATTTCAGCTTTGGGCACTTATGGTGTTTTCTAGGTCGTCAAGAGGTATGGATGGGATAAGCGTGTCTATTTGAAAGCCTTTGAATAGCAATGATATGAAAAACATGTACCTGCAAAATTAGTTAGCACTATATTACAAAACTTTAGAAAATGATCATAAGAAAGCCTTTTTGGATGCAAATCTACATTAGGATATGCATTTATGAAACTTCTGACAACAGAAGTATGTGAATCTTATTTCGACGCAATGTTTGCATCAAAATTCTTATTCAATGACAGGCTTAAAACTACAGATTAACAATGTTATTTTTAACCTCATAATAGATGTTTTACAGCTACTATGAGCTTGAAGATAACAATGTCATTTTTAACCTCATAACAATGTCATTTTTCGACAGAGAACTACATTAAGATATGCCTTTTCTGTTTTTCCATAGCACCGTGATAGAAACTTCCGACAACAAAAGTATATGAATCTTATTTCGACGCAAGGTTTGTATCGGAATATCTATATTTCAACGACTGGCTCAAAACGATAGATTGACACTGTCATTTTTGACCTCATAATAGGTGTTTTAGTCCGCCATTATAACCTATTCCAACACATCTTTTAAGTTGAAATAGGGCAATTTTTCCTTGTGTTGTTAATGAGAAAATGTTCATTAGTAATTTTATGAATTACCCAGCGATTAAGATGACAAACGATGTAATTCAACAGAGCTGTTGATGGAACTGGTACTTGGATTTGTGGCGAGTTGTTTCATATCCTGGTAAAACATATTTTCTGCCAACATATCCATGTTGCGGACGGATTAGAAGAACAAATCCTAGAAAAAATCCACTGATGAATCCCCCCAAATGTGCCATATTGTCCACTCTAGTTATCAATCCGAGTAACAAATTCAGGCAAATGATTACCAGTAGCATCATCAATTGAAAACACTGATAATCAATATATCAAAAACATCTGTTTGTATGAATGAGTCTATGAATACAAGTTTAAGAAGCTTCGGTTAAAAAAATTTGTCACCTTATCCGAGTAGCTTGTCCAATTTGTGATGAACTTGGACAGCATCGAACCCATGAATCCGAAAAGGGCACCTGATGCACCAATTGAAACAATGTCTTTTGTAGGATCTTGATGAAGACAAGATAAAATACTTCTGCCTAAGCCGGCAAGTACATATAAGATTCCTATCTTCACTGCATCCACATTCATTTAAAAATCAATAAAAAAATGAATAGAAATTTATCCGAGATTGATTAACTAGGTAGCTCAGTTTTAATGTTCTTGCAAAATCCGAATTCCTCTTCGAGCTGGATACCGGTGGGTAGAAGGGTAAAGGTATTGAAAAGTAAATGGACAACACTGGAATGAAGAAACATGCAAGAGAATAAACGCCATCGTTCACCTTGCTCCATGTTATATGTGAAGCCTTATACGCTGTCTTATTGACATAAATTCACTCTGCATCTTGACCGTTGTTTTTTTAAGTAATCTAATAGTTGAAAATTGAAGACTGGTCAAACCTATAAAAGCTACAGTCTCTCTCTTTCTCGGAAGACAATCTCTCTCTCAATCGAAAGCTTCCCCAAATTTCTTCGTTAGGGTTCAAGAATAGGGCTTCTCTATGTGTGTGTGTAAATCTTTAGTTAATCTGTCCATTAAAGTTGTGTTTCTTTGTGGTCTTGAGAATCAGGTTTGGAGTTCTCTTTTTGGGTTGTAGATTTACTGGTACTGGGTTGAATTCTGAGTAGTTCTTGATAGTGAATGTTGTAAGGGGAGATCTATTTGTGATACTAATATTAGTGCAGCGAGCATCCATATTCTGGAGCTCAATGTGGACGTAGCTTGTTCAACTTTGAACAAGTGAACCACGGTAAATACTATGTGTTGATCTGTTTCCTTTTGCGTTCTTTGATTGATTGTGTTGGAAGTTGATTAGGATTAGTGAGACTGGAATTACAAAATGGTATCAGAGCCGAGTTTAGGGTTCCTCAAAAACAAATTGAAAATTCTAGGGTTTCGAAATATTTTTGGGGCTTTTTTGATTAATTAGTTTCAAGAGTCCTAGAGTTCCAAACACAGCTAGAATCCCCTAAAATCCTCAGTAAATCGAGTCCATAGGACACAATCTTGATTTCTTAGGGTTTTCCTTTGAATTCAAATTATGAGCATCACACGCATTGAAATCTCCCAATATGATGGGAAGATTGGTTTCAACACTTGGAAAAAGAAGATGAAGGCCTTCTTATGCCACAACAAGGTGGGAATTGCACTAGAGAAATATGTCACTAAGTGGCTGGAAGAAAAGCTGAAGAAGAAGGCATATGTGGACGAAGAAGTGTATAACTTGATCATCATGAACCTGTCTGACACCGTGTTTCGAAAGGTGATGGCGTGGAATCTCCGATTCCATTCTAAGGTAAACTTGAATCTTTATATGCTCTTAAATCTGCTCCTAATTTAGCTTTCCTAAAAGGTGCTTTGTTTTCTTATAAAATGGACCAAGCAAAATCTTTAGATGAAAATTTGGATGAATTCCTAAAAATGAACCTAACCCTAAATGGTACTGACCAAGAACTAGGAGATTCCAGCCTAGCCATGATCTTGTTGAATTCCGTACCAGAGGAATACTTAGTGGTAAAGAATGCCCTTCAGTATAGTGGAACTGTACTCAGTGTGGACCTTATAGTTTCTAGGCTAAAATCAAGGGAATTAGAATTAAAGATTCAAAAATGTAGTGGTAGTAATCTGTTTGTAAAAGGGAAATTCGATACTGGACAATCTGGTAAAGAAACTGGAAAGAACCCTCAGAGACATGTAGGCTCTAAAAAACATAAAGACTAGTAAGGGTAATGGGAAACCTGAAGGTGAATCTAGGAAGTGTTTTTTTTTGTAACAAAACAGGGTCCTTTAAGAAGAATTGTTATGAATAGATTAAAAAGAACAAACAGGCCAGTATAGAAACCAATCTAGCTAGCACAAGTAGTAACATAGAAATATCTGAAGCTCTTACTATTTCCAATATGTCTAGAAGTAATGAGTGAGTGCTAGACTCAGGTTGTACCTTCCACATGAGTCCAAACAGAAATTGGTTTCAAAGACTTAAAACTAGGGAACAAGAAACATTATTCATGGGCAATAATCACTCTTGTGAGGTTCAAGGAATAGGTGACATATCCATTAGGCTGAATAATGGTAAGTTAGTTCTGCTCACTAGGGTTAGGTATATACCCGAACTTAAACGTAACCTAATTTCACTTGGAACCTTGGATGAATCTGGTTGTTCCTATAAAGCACAAAATGGCTGCCTGGAAGTGTACAAAAATTGAAATGTGCTGATTAAGGGTGTTAAGAAGAATGGTCTTTATATCTTATGTGGGCAATACTATCATGATGTGCTTAATTCTACTTTACTTTATACTAATGTATCTGCTGCAGAGAAATGGCATTTGAAATTGGGCCATATAGGCCAAAATGGCATGAATGCATGGAAACAACATGGTTATTTTGGTAATGATCTTGTGTCTGCTTTAAATTTCTGTGAAACATGTATCCTTGGGAAACAACACAGGATGAGTTTCCACAAGGAACTCACCTTGCTGAAAATTGCTTAGACTATGTACATGCTGATATTTGGGGCACAGAAAAGGTCAAGTCACATGGAGGGAACATGTACTTCCTCTCCATTGTTGACGACTACAGTAGGAAGGTATGGGTATACCTTTTCAAGACTAAGGACGAAGCCCTGACTAAGTTCAAAGGATGGAAAAATCTGGTTGAAACTCAATTAGATAGAAGAGTCAAAACACTTAGGACAGATAATGGGTTGGAGTTCTATAACCTAGAATTTGATACTTACTGTGTCAATCAGGGGGTACTAAGGCATATGACTGTCAGGGTAACCCCACAACAGAATGGGGTTGCAGAGAGGATAAACAGAGCTTTCCTAGAAAGGGTTAGGTGCCTTCTTTTTACTGTTGGTTTGCCCAAAACTTTCTGGGGAGAAGCTCTAACCACTGCTGCCTATCTGATTAATAGGAGCTCATCAAGTTTAATAAGCTTTAAGTGTCTAGAAGAAAGATGGTCAAGAAGGAGACTAAACCTAAACCACCTAAGGGTCTTTGGGTGTGCAGCATATGCACACACTAGAAAGGGTAAGTTAGAGCCTATGTCCCTTAAATTTGTCTTTTTAGGGTATCAAGAAGGGAGTAAAGGCTACAAGTTGTGGGGGAGGGATGCACCAGGAATTAGGGTTATAATCAGTTGGGATGTAGTCTTTAATGAGACCATGTTTCCTTGCAAGGTTTCTAATGACAATGCAAGTAAGCCAAGGACAGATCCTAAAATGCTTGATCAAATAGAGAGATCTCAGTTTGAGGTGGAGCCACCAAACCTGACAGAACATTTTGAACAACTTGAAGCCACTGAACCACAAAGTCCCACACTGCCAAACAATGGGGACCAAGATGAAAAAGAGGAACAACCTGAAAACAGTGATGAAGTCTAGAATGATAACCTAGCAGAATACCAATTAGCGAGAGACAAAGTTAGGAGGGAGATAAGGCCCCTTAACAAGTATAGCTATGTTGACTTAATCTAGACTGCCCTTGTTACTAGGGTAGAGACACTAAGGTCTGAACCTAAAACCTACTAAGAACCTATGAGCTCCAAAGACAGAAACAAATGGTCGGAAGCCATGAAGGAGGAAATGATGTCCCTAAAATAGTACAGAACCTGGTCCCTCATCCCAAAACTAGCTGACTAGAAACTAGTAGACTGCAAATGGCTCTACAAATTAAAGGAAGGCATAACAAGCTCAGTTCGTCCAAGATTCAAAGCCAAACTAGTGGCAAAGGACTTTACTCAAAGGGCAGGTATTGACTTTACAGAAATTTTCTCTCCTGTAGTTAAGTTTAAGACAATTAGGCTAATGCTAGCTATTATGACCCATTATGACTTAGAATTAGAACAATTGGATGTTAAAACTGCTTTTTGCATGGTGAATTAGAAGAAAAAATATACATGTGTCAACCAACTGGGTTTAAAGATAGGAACTTGCCTGAACATGCTTGCCTACTGCATAAGTCCCTTTATAGACTTAAACAATCCCCTAGGCAGTGGTACAAAAGGTTTGACTCATTCATAGTAGGAGTTGGGTTTAATAGAATTGCATATGATAATTGTTTTTACTTTGCTTGTATAAATAACATGCCTATATACTTACTGTTGTACGTAGATGACATGTTGTTAATAAGCAAGTCTAAGTCACATATAGATGAACTAAAAGCAAAATTGAGTGCTGAGTTTGATATGAAAGATCTAGGGTCTGCAAAAAAGATTTTGGGGATGATGATTGATAGGAATATAAAATTAAATAGAGTGAAACTTCACCAATTACCATACCTGCAAAAACTAACATCTAGGTTTGGAATGACTGATGCTAAACCTATCAACTTACCCTTAGCAGGACACTTTACATTGAGCAAGTTACAGTGCCCCAAAACCGATGCTGATAGCATTAAAATGGAAACTATACCCTATTGTAGTGCCATAGGATCTATCATGTATTCCATGATAAACACTAGGCCTGATCTTTCTTTTGCAATATAATTATTGAGTAGGTTTATGTCAAATCTAGGAATAGAACACTAGGTTGCATTAAAATGGTTACTCAGATACATTAACACTACAATGCATGTTGGATTAGATTTTTGCAAAAGAAACTCTACATTTGATCTTCTTGGGTATGTGGACTCTGATTTTGCAGGAGATCGAGATTCAAGGAAATCCACCACAACCTACTACTTTACCTTAGGTGACTTCCTATTGTAAATACATTCTATATAATGAAACCGATAGCCTTATATTCTTTAAGGATTTCAGCCACACTATACACGGTCTTTGAACCTCTATATGGTATTAGAGCTTTTTTTTTTCTATCTTCTTCGATCCTTTCCATGGCTACTTTGTCCTCATCATCTTCACTTCCGCTAAACACAATGGTGCATATGCTCACCATCAAACTGACCCTCCAATTATTTGCTCTGGAGAAATCAGTTCATCCCTCTGTTGACCAACCAAGATCTCTTGGATATCTGGTGGTAGTGTCGGGTCCTTCTCTGAAGATTACTGGCTCTGACGACACTACGCAGGTGAATCTAGCCTACACTTCTGGCTGAATATAGATCAGACTCTCCTAAGCCTTCTACATTCTTCTCTCACAGGAGTCTATGAGTGAAGTACTTGGTTTGAGTCATGCCCATGAGGCCTGGACCACTCTTGAAGCCTCATTCTCTCACAGATCCAAGACTCAAGAACTCCAACTCAAGAGAGCTTCAACTCATGTAGTGAGGCTCAAAATCTGTGGCGAATTTTTCTCGACTCTTCAAAGGCATCTGTGATCAACTAGTGGCTA